GATGCTGCCAGCCCTGCTGAGCTTTTCCAGCAACTTCTGTGAACTGTTTCAGCCTAGTTTCATCTGGCTCAACTGTTTTTGTAGTATCTCACCTTCCTGTTTCTTTTTATACCCATCTCCACTCATTATCCGAGAATATTCTCAGTCAAACTTTTACTTGTCCACCGCCAACACAGTTCTGATCTGTGTTGTTGCCCTTTCACAGTAGTGACAAAGATGTAAATCAAACAAAATTATTTTATCTTCACTTCCATTTCTTTTTCTGTCCACCTGACACAAGTGAATCTAAATGCGTATCCTTAAATTAGACATAATCTCAGAGGATCCAACCCAGTACCTGGGTATTTTAAGGTATCATGTTCAGGTGAAGAACTGTCAGAATATCCTGTCAGCTGTAGCTTAAGAACATCAAGATCCAAATGTATTTACACTCAAATGGCAGACTGTGTTCAATAGTGAGTTTAGATTGTACATGTATACTTAAGGTATATAGGGAGCCTAATCTGTTCTGACTGAGAGAAAAGTTCTTAGGTTGAGGAAAGAGGAACTATCTAGTGTTTTAAAAGCATAATGAGGATTGATTGGGCCAGATGTGAAGAAGTGTTTAGATTCTGAAGGCGGAAATTTGATTTTGACGATATACAATTGGATTTCTGTTTAAAGTAGAATGCCCTTTTCCCCCACTTAAAAGCTGTTAACGTTTTGATTGGCTGCCATCTGGTGCAGGAAATCTTGGCTTAATTTCAAGGGTCAGGCCAGATGAGAAACAGAAATGGTGTTTATTAATGAGAACTGAATGCAGTTTCTACTCCTACCTAGTTATTTTGAAATCAAGAAAATTAAGTCTCATTAATTGTTGTAAAAACCCATTTGGTTCATTAATTTTCTTTATGGAAGGAAGCTGCTGTCCTTACCTGACCTAGCGAAAATGTGACTGCAGACTCACAGCATGTGTGGTTGAATCTTAACTGCCATATGAAACAGCCAAGTAAGCAATTCAGTTATATCAACCACTAGAAAAGAAAAAAAAATGAATGAACCGCCTGGCATCAACTCGGGTACGTAGAACGACAATGGCAGAGACCGCCTTGTCAATCCTGCGACGTCCTTCTTATTAACATCTAGGATCTAGTGCCAAAATTTGGAGACCCATCCCTGGATGTGTCCCGTCTTCCTACAGGCAGGAGAAGACCTGCATTGCTGTTGGTACAGTGATATAGCCCCAAAAGTCCTTAACATTGACTGTGGACCTCATTGGATCTTGTGGCATCAGATTAAACATGGGCAAGGAAACCTGTTGATTACCCCATGCCCTACCCAAACCAACTGATGAATCAGTACTCCTCAGTATTGAACAGCACTTGGAAGACGCTCTATGAGTGGCAACAGTGCAGAATGGACTTTGGCTGGACATCGATATCCATCACCAAAAGTGCCGCAGCAGCAGCAGTCTTAGCTGAGCTGGTCAAGTCCTAAAGAACATAACTGCTAGACTTGGCCTGTGGTAGGTGGTGAGGGAATCAACAAAAGGGAAAGACAAACTTGACCTTCTCCTCACCAATCTGTCTGCTGCAGATGCATCTGGCCAGGACAGCATTGGTAAAAGTAATTTTGCACAGTCCTTGTGGAGATGAAGTCCTATCTTCACAATGAGAATCCCCTCCATTGTGTTGTGTGGCACTATCACCATGCCAAATGGGGCAGACTTCAAACAGATCTAGCAATGCAACTGGGCATCCATGATGCAAAATAGGTGATAAGCAGCAACCAAGTTGTACTCCAACACAGTCTGCAGCCTCATTGGCTCAGCATATCACTCACCAATCAGGGGATCAACCCTGGTTCAATGAAAAGTGCAGGATAACATGTCAGGAGCAGCACCAGGCATACCTGAAAACGAGATGCCAAATCTGGTGAAGCTACAAAACGGAGCTACTTGCTTGCCAAACAGGTTAAGCAGCAAGTGATAGAGCTAAGCAATTTCACACCTAACAGACTTAGGGGAGAAAATGGAGGAGACCAGAGGTCGTGGCAAGTCCCAGAGATGGTCCGCAGGCATGAGAGCAGAGAGCCCAGGGGAGACCCGGTGGCGAGTCCATGGGATATTTCTGCAGGTGTCCTTCAGGGTTATATCCTTAGCCCAACCATCTTCAGCTGCTTCATCAATGACCTTCCCTCCATTATAAGGTCAGAAGTGGGAATGTTCGCTGATGATTGCACAATGTTCAGCACCATTCACAATTCCACGTACTGAAGTGGTCCATGTCCAAATGTAACAATATGAAGGCTTTGGCTGAGGAGCAGCCAGTAACATTTCCACCAGGCACGTGCCAGACCCTGATCATCTCCAACAAAAAAGAATCTAACCATTGCCCTTTGGCGTTCAGTGGCATTACTATAATTGAATTCCCCACTATCGATATCCAGTAGGTTACCATTGACCAAGAACTGAATGGGACAAACTATTGAAGGACTGTGACCTATTCTTGTAGCCAGATGCAAGGAATCCTGCAATGAATGACTTATCTCCTGACTACTCAAAGCTTGTCCACTAACCAAAAGGTGCAAGTCAGGATTTTGGTGGAAAATGTCTACCACTTGCCTAAGCGCTCCACCAACAACATTGAAGAAGGTTGTCATCATCCAGGACACAGAGGCCTGCTTGATTGGCATCACATCCACATTCACTTCCTGTGCCACCAATGCTCAGTAGCTGTAGTGTGTCATCAGATGTAAGATGTACTACAGAAATTCACCAAGGCTCCTTCCAAACCTACAATCCCTAACACTTAGAAGGGTAAGGGCAACAGATGCATGGAAATATCATCACCTGCAAGTTCCCCTCCAAGCTACTCACTATCCTGACTTGGAAGTATAAGGCCATTCCATCAGTGTTGCTGGGTAAAAATCCTGGAACTGCCTCCCTAATGGCATTTTGGTCTAGCCACACTGAATGGACTCCAACTGTTCAAAAAGGCAACTCATCGCCTTCTCAAGGGCAACTCGTGCTAAGCAATAAGTTCTAGTCTAGCCAGTGATGCCTGCATCCCATGAACCAATAAACAAAAATGGCAGCCAAATAAGTGAAAGTCAGCCTTAGGGTTCCAGTCACACTGAGGTATGTCATTTGTGCCTGAAGCCTAAATTGTTTGGTCTTGAATTGGGGGAACTAAATTTCTCCCAACTTCAGGTGGTACTAGTAGAGTTGCTAAAAAAAATTTAGCAGGGCCTATTGAGAAGCTAATATAGATCACAACTTTTAGAGAAGGATATGTTTCCTCAACAATTCCAAATTGGAAATTGTCCGCTCTTCTCTTCTGCCTTCTTCAAATAGATCAGTTTTCTTTCAGTTATTCTGTCATTCCCTGATTTGAATAATAATAATAATGCTCAGAATATGACAGAAACACCTGAACTATAAGGAGATCAAAAAGGGATCAGCATTAAATATGTCATCAATAGAATCAAGAGACCAGTCATGACCCAAAGACATCCTTTTATCTTTGATCATTGTAGTCATTCTGAATGGCTCTATTTGTGATAACACACATTGTGATTCAATGTGGTGTACTCTATTAAGAACTTAAAATTTAAAATGCAACATCTAGTGGCTTCTTCATTAAAATTCAGCGCTCAAATTCCTGAATTTGTTATCCCTACTTTTAATACCAGAAATAATATTATCTCATCTTTTCTCTCATTGGATATTGCGATGTGTTGCGATGTTAATATTTAGTCAAAGATTCAATCCGTATTGTTAGCAGAACTAGGCTTGAAAATAGCATGAGACACATCCACTTTACAATATTTCCTTTTTAAAAAATTAGAATTAAAAGGAGTGCATAGAACGACGAAGTATGAGAGGTGACTTGATAGAGATGTACAAAATGATCAGAGGTATAGATAGAGTGGACAGCCAGAGACTTTTTTCCTCGGGTGGAGGTAGCTATTACGAGGGGGCATAGTTTTAAATTGAGTGGAGGTAGATATAGGGGAGATGTCAGAGGTAGGTTCTTTACTCAGAGAGTGGTAGGGGCGTGGAATGCATTGCCGGAGAGGGTAGTGGAGTCGGCCTCATGAGGGGCATTTAAGCGGCTATTAGATAGGCACATGGATGATAGAATAAGGTAGGGGTGGAGGTTAGATAGACCTTAGGATTATGGTAAAAGTTTGGCACAACATCATGGGCCGAAGGGCCTGTACTGTGCTGTACTGTTCCCTGTTCCCTGTTCCCTGTTCTAAAGAAAAATTAACAAATTTGTTGCAATTTAAGTAAATAGAAATTTAAGGTAGTAGTAACAAGCCATAATCAGCACGAATAGGATGAATGTGATGCATAGTTATGTGTTGTCTCTATCCTGGCAGCTGTCAATGTTGTTTACAGAGGAGTGTGACAAGGTTCGGGACCTGATGCATGTTCACTCCTTTAGTTACGATTTCCACCTGCGCATCATTCATCAATATCTGGTCGGCCGTCAGATGACTCTGAGGCAGGGCTACCACTTGACTAGCTTCCTAGAAGATTTTATCTGTCACCACCCAGATATTCCAAAATATGGAAGGAACCACATCTTTGAAGGTAAGAGAACTGTAACTTTTGAAAAAAAAGGTTTGGAGCAGCAAGAAATGTTTAGCATTACCTAGTGGAAAAATTGAAGGAACCCAAAGTGCAGTCTCAGCTTCAATTTCTAAATTTATATCATGCACCAAGCTTAAAATGTTTCACTTACCTCCTGAGGGATGTTTTGAAGCAGACTTGGACACCCAGCCGCATTAGCAATATTTGACAGATATGCAGCAACTTGTTTAAAGGGGTATGTTTTAAGGAACACCTCAAAGAAGGAAAGGGGAAGAGAAGTTTCGGAGGGAATTCCAGAGCTTAGGGTCTAGGCAGAAGACATGGCCACCAATGGCAGAGCAACTAAAATGTAGAAGATCGAGCCCAGAATTAGATGAGATGTGCAGGTAAGTCAGAACATTATAGAGCTGGAGGAGATTAGAGTTGGGAGGAGTGAGGCCAAGGAGAGATTTCAAAACAGTGATTACACAATAAATATTTACTAAAGCAAATCTCTCAATAATTTTCTATTAGTTAAATCTGCAGTATTTTTGTTCTTCACTGCAATGGAGTGCCAATTTATTGTAATTAAATGTTAAAGGCCATGTTAAATGAACTGTGCAGTTAGCCTATGAGTGAAGAAGGTGACACAGTGTGTAGATAATCTTCACAGTGCTTATTAATGTTTCATTTGTAGGATGAGGTTGAGAAAATAAGTTAATATTCTCTGTAACGGCATTCTTTTGTAAACTGTAAATATCCTAATCAATGATAAATGTAATTTGATTTTTCAGCATCTTGGCATATCCGTCTGATACACCATAGTGTGGTAGGGCGCTATTCCATGGGTGATCACACTATATTGTGCTGAATTCAAATGTAGTGTCTGGATCAAGTAAGGAGTTATCCTAGGCTACGTTCATTGTTGCACTTAGTTATGTGCTGTGGTCTAAAAAAACATAGCCACTAGCTGTTCTGCCAAAGTTGTGTGATAAAAGTCGAACCAAAGAGGAAATCAAGGAGAAGACAACTGTTCTTTAAATGAAAAGATACGGTGTAGTGTCACAATGTGGATCACTCTGTTAGTGTTCATGAGTTAGAACTGGAAAAGCAGTTCAAGAAGGCAGCTCGCTACCACCTTCTCAAGGTTGGGCAACAAATACTGACCTAGACAGGATGCTCACATCATGCAAATGAATAAATATATTAACCCAGCAGGTTAACTATTACTATTTACCTATCAGTGACCTCAAGTAGAAAGTGCAGAGATTAGTGGAGGGCAGAAATGGCCTCAGCAATGACTTTGACTTGCCTGATCATGGGACAGCACTTAATATCTAGTCTTATAACAAGATTTATGTGACTGATATTGGTTAGTCTGATCAACATACTAACTAAGATGCAAGCAATTTTGTTTTAAATATGCAAGTTTGATATGCAATATGCTGCCATGATCAGTTTTGGAAATTCCAATTTTTTTCTCCAGGGACTATAGCTCTGTCCACAAACATGACAACTGCTCATCAGCTGTATAACTATATCACAGACCATGCCAGTATATATGGAATGAAACCGCTGCGAATGTCAAGAACAGCAATGGGTATGGAGGGAAGAAAGGGGACCCAGAACACAGAAATGCATGAGTATGCATTAGTAGCCCTTTGGAATCGGTGAGTGCAAAGCAATGTGTGTATATGTCATAGTGTTGGAATGTCTTCCCATCTTTCCATTTAGGCAATTTGATTGCCAACTGAAATTTAACTGTACTATCAAGGAGCTAGTCGACATATCATCCTTTAAGGGGAGAAAATGGTGTAGTGATTTTGTCACTGAACTAGTCATTCAGAGACCCAGGTAGTCTGGGGATCGGAGTTAAAATCTCGCCACTTGAATATAAAAAGCTGAAATTAAAAGTCTAATAATCATTGGTTTCACAATATCGGTTGTTTTGCAAACCCATCTGTTTCACTAATGTCCATTGTCCACTAATGCTGTCCTTTTCTGCTCTGGCCTAAATGTGACTCCAGACCATCAGTAATACCACAGAATTTCACACCATGGAAAGAAGTACTTTGGCCCATTGTGTCCACACAAGCTATCAAGCAACTATCTACTCTAGTTCCATTTTCTAGGGCACAGCCTTGTATACCGTGGCATTTCAAATGATCATTTAAAAACTTACTAAATGTTGTGATGATTCTCATCCCGACAATTCAGGCCATGAGTTCCAGATACCCACCAACCTTTGGATGAAAAAAAGTTATTTCTTAAATCCCCTCTGAACCTCATACAATTAACCAGGGAGCATAGATTTAAGGTAGTTGACCCCTCTATGAGGGGAACGGTTTCTTTCTATCTACCCAACCTATACTCCACATATGTGGTTAACTTTTTCACTGCCCTCTGAAATGGCGTAGCAAGCTATTTAGTTGCAGCAACCACAAGTATGTATCAAAGAAGGAAATAAACCAAACAGAGCACTTGGTACCAACCTGGGCACTGGAAACAACAATGGCAAGCACAGTTCCACCAACTCTGCAAAGTTCTCCATACTAACATCTGGGGCTAGTGCCAAAATTGGGAAAGCTGTCTCACAGATTAACTAAGCAATAGCCTGACATTGCCACATTCACGGAATCATATCTTAGACAAATGTCTCGGACAACAGCATCACCATCTGTGGCTATGTCCTGTCTCATTAGCAGACCCAGCTGTGGTGGCGGCACAGTGGTATATGGTCGGGAAGCTGTTGCTCTAAGAATCTTTAATGTTAACACTGTATCCCCTGAAGTCTCATTGCATCAGGTCAAACTTGCTGCTGATTACCATATACTACCCCCACTCAACTGATGAATCAATGCCTGTTCAGTTGAACAGCATTTTGAGGAAGTGCTGTGGCAAGAGGACAGAATGTTCTCTGGGTGGAGGACTTCAGTGTCCATCGCAAGAATGGCTCAGTAGCTCCACTACTGACCAAACTGGTCAAGTTCTAAAGGATATGGCTGCTGGGTTGGGTCTAGCCCTGGTGGTGAGGGAATTAAAAGAGGGACTATACCTATGCTAAATAGTATTGACTTTTGAACAGATCGAGTTACTAGAGTGGGGATGCATGAGGTGCTGTGAGCCTTCAACAGCAGTGGTATTGTACTCCAACACAATCTGCAACTTGCGTATCTCTCACTGTACCATTACTATCAAGCCAGGGGATCAGCCTTTAGTTCAATGAAGAGTGCAGGCAGGCATGCCAGGAGACACACCAGGCATACTAAAACTGAAATGTCAACCTTGTGAAGCTACAAAAACAGGACTACATGTATGCCAAGCAACATAAGCAGCAAGTGATAGACAGGACAAAGTAATTCCATAGCTAATGTATCAGATGTAAGCTGTACAGTCCTGACACATCCAGTCGTGAATGGTGGTAGACAATTAAACAACTCAATGGAGGAGGTGGCTCTACAATACCCCGTTCTCAATGATAGGGGAACCTATTGTATCAGCAAAAGATAAAGCTGAGGCGTCTGCACCAATCTTCAGCCAAAAGTGGATGATCCATCTCAGCCTCTGCCTGAGGTCCCCAGCTTCACAGATATCAATCTTCAGCCAATTTGATGAACTTCATGTGATTTCAAGAAATGCCTGAAGGCACTACTGCAAAGTCACTGGGACCTGACAACATTTTGTCAATAGTACTGAAGATCTGACAAAATGTGCCATTTCCCTAGCCAAGCTATTCCAGTATAACAAGACCGGTATTGACTCAACAAGGTAGAAAATTGCCCAAGTATGATTTACTGGAATTATCGCTTGACTGTTCTGGGTTCCTGGATTCGGATCACGTCATGGTGGATGGTGGAATTTGAATTCAATAAATATCTGGAATTAAGTGTTTAATGATGACCATGAATCCATTGTCGAATGTCAGAAAAACCCATCTGCTTCACTAATGTCCTTCAGGGAAGTAAATCTGTCATCCTTACCTGGTCTGGCCTACATGTGACTCCAGACCCACAGCATTGTCGTTGACTCTTAGTTGCCTTGTGGGCAATTAGGGATTGGCAATGAATGCTGGCCTAGCCAGTGATGCCCTCAACCCATGAACGAATTTTTTAAAAAATGAAAGCAGAACAAATCTAACCTAGCCAATCACTGCCCCATCAGTCTTCTCTCAATCATCAGTAAAGCTACAGCAGGTGTCATCAAAGATGCTATCAAGCAGCACTTACTCATGCTCACTGACACTTAGTTTAGGTTCTGCCAGGCCACTCAACTCCTGAGCTCATTACAACCTTGGTTCAATCAGGACAAAGAACTGAAGTCCAAGGTGATATGGAAGTGACAATCTTCAGCATCAAGAAGCCTTAGCAGAATTTGAGCCAATGGGAAGTATGGATAATATTTTCTGCTGGTTGGAGGCAAACATGGCATAAAAGAACATGGTTGTGTCTGTTGGAGGTCAGTTATCTCAGCTCCAGAATGTCTCTGCAGGACCATTTTCTAGTGATTCTTCAGTGGCCTTCCCTCCATCATAAAGTCACAAGTGGGGATATTTGCTGATGATTGCATAATGTTCATTACCATTTTGTGACTGTTCAGACACTGAAGCAGTCTATGTTTGAATGAAACAAGATCCGAACAGTATCCAGGTTTGGGCTGACAAGTGGCAAGTAACATTTGTGTCAGACAAGTGCCAGGCAGTGAACATTTCCAACAAAATTTCTGACCATCACCTCTTGATATTCAAAGGCATCTATCAATATTCTGGGGCTTTACCTTTGTTTAAGCACAACAGAATTTGGCATGTGTGCATGCGTGTATGTACTGTGGCTACAAGGGCAGACAGCGAGTAACTTACCACCTGGCTCCCTAAAGTCTGCCCGCCATCTATAAGGTACAAGTCAGGAGTGTGATGGAACACCCCTCCACCTGCATGAATGAGTGCAGCCCCAACAGCATTTGAGAAGTTTGACACCATCCCAGACAAAGCAGCCCGCTTGATTAACACCACATCCACAAACATTCACTTTCTCCACCACCAATGCTCAGTAGTGGCAGAGTGTAGCATTTAGAAGATGCATTGTACAAATTTATCAGGGCACCTTGGACAGCACCTTCCGAACCCACAATTGCAGCCATCTAAGAAGAACAAGGACAGCAGATACATAGGAACACTGTTTACCTGTAATTTCTCTCCAAGTCACCCACCACCTGAGTTGGAAATATAACATGGTTCCTTCTATATCACTGAGTAAAATCCAGGAACTCCCTCCCAAATTTCATGGTTGATCTACCTACAGCACATAGACTGCAGCAGTTCAAGAAGGCAGCTCACCACCCCCTTCTCAAGGGCAACTAGTGATGGGCAATAAATGCTTACCCAGCTAATAATGCTCACAACTCATGAATGGATGTATAAAATGAAATTGCTTCACTGGCTACATGATCTACAAACTGCAACAACTTGAATTTTGCATTTTTACAGCAGAAGACACTTCACAGGAACATTATCAAACAAAATCTGACACTATAAACCACGTGAGATGTAGGACAGGTGCACAGCAGTTTCTGTGAAGTTGTAGATTTAAGAAGCATTTGGAGGAGTAAACAAGTAGTGAGGCTAGGGAGGAGATCCCAGAGCCTGGCCCAAGAAGCTGAAGGCATGATGTCAATAGTGAAGCAATAGAAATGACACATGCACAGAGCCCCAAGATGGGAGCAGAGATCTTGAGATCTTTATAGACTTTTGGATCAGGGAGGGACAGTGTCAGAAAATGTTTTGAAAACAAACAGAAGCCTTCTAAAATGGAAACAGAGCTGGACTGAGAAACAATGTAGGGTAGCTGGCATGAATGATGAGTGAATCAACTTGGTGTGAGGTAGGACAGCAGAATTTTGGATAAAAGTGAAAGATTAAGAGCCTGGCCAGGGAATATTGGAATAGCTAGGTCTACAGACATCAAAGGTATGGGTATGGGTTCACAAGGTGGTGAGCTGAGGTAGGGTGTAGATGGTTAATGTTACAGAGGTGAAGCAGACAGTCTTGATGATGGAGAAAATACATGATCTGCATTTCATCTCAGGTTCACATGGGCTACTGAGTTTGGAAATGGTCTGAATCAGCCTCAGACTATGTCTAGGGTCAGGGATGGAGCTGGTGGTTAAGGAACATTGTTTATGACAGGGACCAGAGACAATGTTTGGGTTTTCCCAATATTTACTCAGAGGATGTTTCTGCTTGTCCAGCCTGGAAGTTAAATAAGCAGCATTACACATCACAGACATTGGAGAGGTGACAATGGTGTGATAAAGCTGAATGTCATCAGCACCCATGTGAAACCTGGCATATATTTTTGGATGATGTGACTAAAGGGCAGAATGAGTGTGTGAAATAGGATCATGCCCAATATCACTTGACAATTTAAAGACCAGATCAAAACTCTGTTTTTTGTCCAGTGAAAACAAGTTCAGCTGTGCAATTCATCCTAAACTTTATAACCTACAGCCTAGAATCAGCCTTGTTGCACTTCTCTGAATGCATTTAACATTATCAGTGTCCTTTTGATTGTTCCTTATTTCAAATTCCACAAACTATTCGTAATATACTTTCAGTAACAAGCTGATCAAGTTTAGAAATACTGTGCTTTTTTTTTTAAAGTTTGTATAGATTTTGAATGTAACCAGAGCAAAGAATGATCAGTGATCAGTTATGTCTGTTCTTCAGTCATAATACAACCCATGTGTGAGAGCAAGTTTTGTATACTAACAGATATTGAACTGTCAGCTTGTTTTTGGTGATTAGAATCTGAATTGTCGTGATTGGTTTAGAAAACCAATGTCTTGCACTCATTGTTTGGTGTTTATGGAAAGACTGACAGGATTTAAAAACATTTTTTTTTGACATCCAGATCTGGATCATATAAAGATTCTGAAGGAATCAGACATCATGATGAGTTTGATGTGTCCTTGTTGGTGTGTCATAGTGCAGGTCCTTTTGAAGAGTTACCAGAAACAGAACGCAACATGCTACGGTAAAATGATATCTTTAATTAATTTGCCTCATATTGGTGCATCATTTTGTTAATTCTTGGAGTTTGAGATTTGGGAAGCACATAGTTTCGAATTCATCCTATAATTATTTCTATTTCTAGATTCAGTGTTCTCTCTTTCGGTAAAGACTGCCATAATCTGTACATCTTTCAGTGTCACTGTAATGAGCATATTTACCATACCAGTGCAACATTAATGTGCCTGAGATGTTTGTGTAAAATCACAAAGCTGGAATATTGTGGATCCTTGATAAATGCGGCTACTGGGTTTGAAAGAGTCTCTATTATATTGGGAAGGTCTGAAGCTTGTAATTACTTTGTGTTGTACATTTGAATCCTAATCATCCCTGCCCAAATTACGTTTTTGTACCTTGGAGTAACCAATGATATTCCTTAAGCAAGTTGCACAGTTTTGAATACTGAATAACTATTATTCTGACTTGATGCCACATACCACATTCAGTCTAACAGTCTGTGATAAATTTTACGTCTTGCCTATAAATACTTTGTTAACCTTTGAGAAGTTCATTATATATTCTCAATTGAGGGGACCGTATGGTTCTTAAAAGTGCTTTGTAATGGGCTGCTGTCAAAACGCAAGGCAATAATATATCCCTGTTCTGTTCTGGATATTGTTATTTTATGGCCTTTGTTTCATATAGATTTTAATACTCAGTTAAAATTACAATTTACCGTCAAACATGATCTGGGTAGCTAATGAAGAGTTTGTCTAGGTAAACAGTGTTTTCAATTATTTTAGCAATTTTCACTCTGTAAAGTTGGAATCAGTTAATAGATTATCTATTCAAAATTTAATCTAGCTTTCCAACATAAGTCTTCCCTTGATCAATTTTTTCTACATTAATCTAATTAACAAGTACAGACCTATTCGACATAAGCCTCAAATACAAGTAGCACTACTTGATAATTATCCTTCAGGTCGCTTTGTCTATAAATTGTAATTTGAAGTCATCTCGGAGGGCTTTCTGCTTCATCAAGCTATGGAGCAATGGCTGAATCTGATCACTTATTACACTCCATTAACTACCTTGTACTACAATCAATATCAGAACTACAGCTGAGGGATGTTTGAAGCATTGATGCACAGTGAGAACCGATTTTTTTTGCACATAATACTATAGGTGCAGGCATAGTTAACAGGGTCTTATTGTTTTGTCTAGGGTTAAGAAAATCTAAGGAAACTTATAGAATCATAGAATCCCCACAGTGTGGAAACAGGCCATTTGGCCCAACAAGTCCGTGCTGACCCTCTGAAGAGCATCCCACCCAGACCGATCCCCCTACCCTGTCCCGGTAACCCTGTATTACTGGTAACTAATGCACCTAATTACCTATTGCCAATCCCATTAACCTGCATATCTTCGGACTGTGGGAGGAAACGCGACCACTCAGTGGAAACCTACACAGACATGGGGAGAACGTGCAACCTCCGCACTGATGGTTGCCCGAGGTTGGAATCAAACCCAGGCCCCTGGCTCTGTGAGGCAGCAGTGCTAACCACTGAGCCATCGTGATGCCCTAAAGCCTGTTAGCAAGCTACAATCCAGAATTTTATATTCTGCAATTACTAAATTGTACACTTTAAAGATTGCAAGACTTCTTATTTATTAACGTTTCACATAAAAAAATGTAGTTTATAATTTGCAAAAAGACTTACAAATCTTCAGTCAAATGAAAATTAACACAGATAAATATAAGGTATAGCACATTAGTACTTATTAAGTACTATTAGAGACACTTAGAAACATGTGACTTTTACTTGTTCATGGGATGTGGGTGTCGCTGGCTTGGCCAGCACTTATTGCCCGTAAAGTAGAAAATATATACCAGCAATCAAAATTAGATGCTACAAAGATAATAACATTCCGAACTAAATACTCTGTCTCTGAATGGAGGTAGCATTCATAACAAAGTAAATGAATTGATAACATACACTGAAGTGAATAAATATGATCCAATAGTACATTGGCTGCAGAATGATCAGGATTAATTCTGAATATTCAGAAGTACATGACATTCAGGAAGAATAGGAAGCTAGGCAAAGGAGTAGCACTTACAATTAAAAATGGTATAAGCATGAGATATGATCTTCATTCAGGAGATCAGATTGAGGAATCTGTTTTGGATAGAGATGAAGAATAGTAGGGGATCCACAGTGCGCACACCCCAGCGCTGGTGGGTATCCATATGTGCACAACCTTTTGCATGAAAAAGGTGCTCCTTAGCTCACTTTTAAATCTTTCCCCTCCCACCTTAAACTGATGCCCTCTAGCTTTGGACTCCCCAACCCTGGGGAAAATTAATCCAGAGACCCTGGTAAATGTTCTGACTTTGAATCCCGCCATGACAAATTGTGGAATTTGAATTGGTTAATAATCTGGAAATGAGAATATAACAATGCCCACTGTTGATTGCTAGAAAAACCCATCTGGTTCATTAATGTCCTTTAGGGAAGGAAATCTGTCATCCTTACCTGATCTGGCCTACATGTGACTCCAGACCCATAGCAATGTGGTTGACTCTTAACTGCCTCTGGACAATTAGGGATGGGCACTGGGGGAGGCAATGGTCTAGTGGTATTATTGCTAGAATGTTAATCCAGAGACCCAGATAACATTCTGGGGACCCAGGTTCGAATCCCGCCATGGCAGATGGTGGAATTTGAATTCAATAAAATATCTGGAATTAAGAATCTAATGATGACCACGAACCCATTGTTGGAAGAACCCATCTGGTTCATTAATGTCCTTGAGGGAAGGAAATCTGTCATCCTTACCTGGTCTGGCCTATATGTGACTCCAGACCCATAGCAATGTGGTTGTCTCTAAACTGCCCTCTGGGCAATTAGGGATGAACAATAAATACTGCCTAGTTATCGACACCCTCATCCAGTGAATGAATAAAGGAAAAGAAACAATTGGGGATGGGCATTAAGTGCTGGTACAGCCAGTGGCACCTACATCCCATGAATGAATAAAGAAAGAAATTGAACTTAAGGTATGGAAGTCATGCTTCAGTTGTACAGGGCATTGGTGAGACCATATCTCTCGGCCCGAAACGTCAGCCTCTCTGCTCCTATGCTGCTGCTTGGCCTGCTGTGTTCATCCAGCCCTGCACCTTGTTGTCTCTCATACTGTGTGCAGTTTTGGTCTCCTTATTTAAGGAAGGATATAAATGCCCAGTGAAAGGTGGCTCAGAGGAGGTTTATTAGATATCTAGAATCAGTGGGTTGTGTTAAAAGAAAAAAAATGGCCATCTTGGGTGTATTTCCACTTGAGTTTAAAAGAATGAGGGGTGATTTGATTGAAGTTTGTAAGATCCTGAATGATCTTGATGGGTGGTTGAGAAAATGATGCTCACTCTTGTGAGTGAGCCCATAAGTACAGGATATTGCTTTAAAATGATGGGTTGCTAATAAGGCGGTGATGAAGGGATTTTGGAACTCTGTATCAGAACGTGGTGGAGGCAGGGTTATTGCGAAGGTGGGTGGTTAGATTCTTATTAGGCAAGGGAATCGGAGGTTACTGGAATAGATGGGAATGCAGAATTGGAAACTCAGCCATGATCTTAGTGAACAACAAGCAGGCTTGAAGGGCCTTGTGGCCTATTTCCACTTCCTCTGTTTCTAATTAGTTATGTTCATTTTTATGTTTGTCAAATGAACATGTTAAACCTTTAAAATGGTAGGAAAAGGCATTTCATTACTAATGTACCCTTCAGTCTGCTTTTTGAAGTAAAGCTAAGTGTAGTTTTAATCTGCATCTGTACAATGTATCTAACTTGATTGCAACATAGATATCAAGAATGCCAAAGCTCCATTTTTCATTTTGAGAACTAAATCCATTGGGGAAACACTGCGACCTGCAAGTCTGCGCTTGTAGGTAATACAACTCTCCCTAGGTAATAAATTAATATTAAAATAGAATTTCAAATTGTAGTTTCTCTGCTTATGAGTTCTTGTCCCTGTAATAACAGTTAGCAGTCCATTGTGTTTGTAGTTTTTTCAACTTCAAGTATCATTCAAACCCGTCTTTTGCTATATTACAAATAGCTATAGATACAACATTCCATTTATCATACCATAAAATATGCCTATCTGTCTCCCCCCACCCCTCAATCTCCAAAAGGGAAATACATTAATGTAAAGCATATGAAAGACATTAAATTTTCATCTGCATTGAGAATGGATGTATTTTGCTTATCAAGTCCTGGACTAAACTATGCCTGGCTGAAAAATCAGTTTGGTTCATTTTTCAAATATTATTTTTTTAAGATTGCGTTTCTATGTGATCATGACAAGCTGCCGGGAGTTGTTCCCAAGACTAACTGCTGATATGAGACGCTTTAAGAAATTACCACACACTCGTAGAGACTCTTTTGACTTCACAAGAGATCCCTCATTGTCAGAAAAATATGAACCCGAACAGAGGGAGGCTGACCCAGATGGCTGGGATGAGACAGGCGATTCCAGCGAATTTTACTTGCACAGGAAACCATTGAAGATGGCTCCAGAACTATTCTATTCCTCTCCACTCTTCCCTTTACTGGCATCAGAAGTAGCAACAGCCCAAGAACAGATTACAACGATGGTTCAGCAAGCGAAGTCCCACTGTCGTCGTGATGTCCTCTGGCAGCGCCTCTTTTTGGGAGAGCATTTGTCTTCAGACAAACACAAAATGAGCAAGCTGTCCTTTGCAGAACTGGAAGAGTTACTTGGAGCTGTGCATAGTAAATCAATTTCTGAAATCGACCCGCAACTGGTGAGTGATAGATAATTCTGCAGTTACAGTAAAGTTAACTGATTATTTTCAATGACATCTGTATTGTGATAAAAACTTAATACTATGGAAATTTGTTGACTAGAGATTTAGGTACTTTCTCCAGGTATTCTGACTTATTTATTGATACAGCAAACTTTGTTTTAACTGACACCTTATGAACCAGCACTCTCAATAAACCGGCAAAAATTACATACTTGAAATACCGGAAGTTTACTGTATTATCCCGATCCCTGTGATGTCCTAGTAGTCAGTTGAGGATGGGAGTGAGAAGGCTCTCTGCTGGTTAGTTTTTATTTAAGGCAAAATTTCATTATTATTTAAGTGATTTATGTTGGAAATAAAGTATAACATTGATGTGTATACCCCCCGCATTACACTTCCATTACTTAACGTATGTTTTTGTATTGATTTATGTGGACCTTTTGATCAACTGGAATATTTGGTCAACCAGTATGCTCCCGGTCCCATAGCCGCCAGTTAATAAAACTTTTTCTGTGCATATATTTGGTGGAACTCTATAGAATCAGTTCTTGGCATATCCAAAGCTGATATCAATGCACTTGTACACTGGACATTTATTTCATAGGAAATACAACACATAGGAATCCAGGACTTTCCTATATATCACTGTGGATACAACTGAGTAAACGAAGTCAGGTGGTGGTTGTGTATTTCAAAACCTCTCTGCTATATCCCTGACTAACATGGGTAGAGCAACTCCAGTTGAAGAACCTTCATAGGTATGAGAAGCAGAATTGTGAAGTGCTTTCTGTGTAATGACGTAGGCTGGGAACACCTTTTATTGAAGGTATTCCTCATTCTCTGAACAAGGTCAGAAGTCACATGACACCAGGTTATAGTCCAACAGGTTTATTTGAAATCACAAGCTTTCGAAGTGCTGCCTAATGAGGTTCATCTGACAAAGGGACAGCACTCCGAAAGCTTGTGATTTCAAATAAATCTGTTGGACTATAACCTGGTGTCATGTGACTTCTGATCCTCTCCACCCCAGTCCAACACCGGCACCTCCACATCATTTTCTGAACAATGAAATGCATCACTCTTTGTGCCATTAGATTAATTTCGATATCCCATATTGTACTGATGATAGAACGTATGCATTTATGATAGTTATAGAAGTAAAAATACACTATAAAACTGTTCAGGAAAAAGTATTGAACATGAAAGACATAGATATAACTTACCCAACAATTCATTTGTATTTAGAAGTGCAATCGCATTAGCTCCTCCAATTATTGAGAATGAATCTGCAATATATAAAATAAAACTTTGGCTGGTTTGCTTCAACAATATGCCCCAATTCCATGTCTAGCACCATTTCCAACCTCAAACAGACATCTGTGTAAATCTATTACACATATTCAATCCTGATTATTTCACTGAGAAGAAAAGTTGTACACAATTCGTATGACTGTGACATTAGTTTCTAATTGGACCTGTTGTAGATTTGTTTCTCACAACTTTATTCACCTTTGCCCAATGTTATGACTGTTCTTATTACCCTATTTCCTGTTGTCATTTGTCATTATTGTGGCTTTCTCTTGTTCCAGGACTGCTTCCTGTCAATGAGTACCAGCTGGTATCAGAGTCTAATCAAGGTTTTACTCAACCGATTCTCCCAGAGTTGCCGACTCTTTGTAGATTCAGATAGAGGAACCCAGTACTTGGTAAGTTTACACCAAATGTCTAGCAAATATATATCCAGAGCCTGTTTTAAGTTAAGGATGATTACATTTCCAGACATGCCAACAGTCTCTTTATCAAAACTTGAAGATCTCCTATGGCTTATCGAAGTTATTTTTTCTTTCTAGCATACAAGATAAAATCCCTACAGGCCCTTCGGCCCAACAAGTCCACACCGACCCTCATAGCATCCCACCCAGACCCATCCCCTATAAACCCACCTAATTTACACATCCCTGAACACTATGGGCAATTTAGCATGTCCAATCCACCCAGCATGCACTTCTTTGGACTGTGGGAGGAAAACGGAGCACCCGGAGGAAACTCACACAGACACAGGGAGAACATGCAAACTCCACACAGACAGTTGCCTGAGAGTGGAATCAAACCCAGGTCCCTGGTGCTGTGAGGCAGCAGTGCTAACCACTGAGCCACCGTGCCACCCACATTGGGAAAGCCGAGACATAAACTGCAACTTTATTGGAGAGCTTATGTTGGTGATATTTTTCAGGTTGAAAGCCACATTTTGAGTGAACTTTTGAGGTCAAAGTCATTGGCCTTCATGATAACTATTTAACTATCAGTATCTGTAACTAAAGATATTTCAAGAAGATTGTAGTTAGGAAATGGGTTGAAATAGTGCATGGGGGCGGGAGGTGAGCAGTTAACTATTGTAGAAAATGTAGTTTTGGTGTGTGGAATAAAGAGGAATGAAATAATCAGCTCAACAAAAACAAATAGATGGATGGGTGCTGGGTTTGGGAGTAGTTGGAGCTAATTCTGATCTATTTGCTAGTATTAGCTTGTTGAAGGTGGAGTGTGGATTTGGGAATTTGGCTTATGGCAGCACTATTGGAAACAAAAACAGAAAGTGCTCAAGTAACTCCGCTGGTCTGGCAGCATTTGTAAAGAGATCATAAGAATTAGGAACAGGAGTAGGCTGTTTGGCCCCTTGAGCTTGCTGCACTATTCAATAGGATCAAAGTTGATCCATCACTCATCAAAATGTATAGCACAGAAACAGACTCTTCGGTGCAACTTGTCCATGCTGACCAGATATTCTAAATTAATCTAACCCCATTTGCTGGTATTTGGCCCATATCCCTCTAAACTATGTACCCATCTTGATGCCTTTTAAATGTTGTAATTGTACCATCCTCCACCCACATTCCTTGCGTCAATTTCCCATGTATTACCTGTGTTTTTCCTGTAACCCTTAATGCCCCGACTGATCAAGAATCTATCTCGGCCTTAAATATACACAAGGACTCTGGTCCCACAGCTATCTATGGCAAGGATTTCCAAAGGTTTTCAATCCTCTGACAGAAGAAATTTCTTCTCATCTCAACCTTAAATTGGTACCCCTTTATTCTGAGATTATGCCATCTAGTCCTAGTCTCTCCCATGAGGGGAAATATCCTCTCAGAATTTACTTAATCAAGCCTTCAGGAATCCTATATTTTTCAAAGAGATCACTTCTCCTTCTAAACTCCAATGAGCAGAGTCCCAACCTGCTTAGTCTTTGCTCATGAGACAATATCTCCTTGCCAGGGATAATCCTAGAGAGCTTTCTCTGAACTGCCTCCAATTAAATGGTATCTTTCTTTAAATAAGGGGACCAAAACTGCTCACAGTACTCCAGGTGTGGTCTCACCAGCACCTTGTACATTTGTTGAAAGACTTCCCTACTTTTATACTCCAACCCCTTGAAATAAGGGGCAATGTTCCATTAGCTTTCCTGATTACCTTCTGCCAGCTTTTTGTGCTTCGTGCACAGGCACCTCCAAGTCCCTTTATGTTGCAGCAACAGAAAGCAAGAAACAGAGTTAACATTTTGAGTCCAGTGATCTTTCATCAGACCTTTGTTTTAGGTTATCAGAATCTATTGCTTTTTTTTTATTGTAGTACTGTAGGGAATTTGTGCAATGACAGATGTATTTTCCCACAGAGATTATTTGCAAAGTTGGTCTAATCATTTTGATATGGAATCACGAAATGTCAGCCAGTTTCCTACGGGAGTTCATATAGAAGGGAGAAACAATTTCATTCCACTTATAGAATCATGCAGCATGGAAACAGTCCCTTCAGTCTAATTAGTCCACACTGACCATGTTCCTAAACTAGTCCCACTTGCCTGCATTTGGCCCATTTGCCTCCAAACCTTTTCTATTCATGTACTTATCTAAATGTCTTTTAAATGTTGTAACGGTACCTGCATCCATCACTTCCTCTGGCACTTTTTACACCACTCTCTGTGTAAAAATGTTGCCCCTCACATCCTTTTTAAAACTTCCTCCTCACCTTAAAAATATTCTCCCTAGTTTTGAAATCCCCCACCCTAGGAAAAAGACTCTTGATATTCACCTTATCTATGCCCTCGTGATTTATAAACCTCTATAAGGTCATACCTCAATCTCCAATGCTCCAGTGAATGAAGTCCCAGCCTATTTCTATATCTCAAACCCTCCGTATAGAGGGAATTTCCTGAGTCAAGGAGGAAGCATTATTTTACTAATTCCAGTGCAGGGGTGCCACAAAAAATTGAAGGGTTGGACCAATTCTGAATCTGAACAGTTAAATAAACATTTTTAGAAGGAACCTTTCAATACTGATCATGTTTCAAACATATAATCAGCAACAAAGTGCTCAAGACTCAGTATAGAGGAGCAGTAGTTACCAAAATATCATTAAATTATTGGCATTGAATCATCTTCCAAAATTCAGCAACTTGTCTTTTACTACTTAAGATAACATTCAGCTGAAGTAAAGAAAAGTCCTGCATCATCTTTCATGCAAGAGGAAACATTTTGGAAGCACGGTAGAATTTCCATCCCCCATTGTAAATGTGTTAAAGTAATGACCAAATTAAAATAAAACCAAAATAAGACTACATAGGCCATTGTATCTTCCGAGCTCATCTTGGAATAATTCAAACTATTTACTTGCTGTTTTGGAGATAGTGGGAACTGCCGATGCTGGAGATTCTGAGATAACAAGG